TGGATCTAATTTCAACCTGAAGCGGGTAACACCTCTGGATCGCTGCTTTACATATATGCCTACAAATTAAGATTTTTAAGGCTGTGGGTACAGCTCCATGGTACAACCATTGCCTAGCATGCATGCATGATACACTGGGGATGGACACATAGCATACAAAAGAAAAAATATAGAGTATATGTATCTATGTCTATGTACATTAAATATTAATGTAGTTTACATATATTTTATAATTTTAGTTTGGGACAAAGCCAACTTTCTAGCTAGTATCCTTTTACTCAGTAAGTCTATTTTGGAAATATCTATTATCTAGGTAATCAAAGTAATCCTAACTACCAAAAAAGCATGTGTGTATATATACATATATAGGTAAACGAACGTATACACATACATGTATGTATATATTTTAACATGAGGGGGAAAAGCTCCTAAACATTTGGACTGAACCTGGACTGAACCTGTGCTGGAAATAAACAGGTTTATCTGCTGATGTGTAGCTCTACAATGTGCAGTGAATATCTGCCCAGCCCTCCTTGCTCCCTTCAAGCTGCTGCTACAAGGAAGCTATCCCTACACAAAGACCTCTTTCCCAGGCTTTCCAGAGGGTCCATATAACCATCCACATGCTTTTCTAGAGACAGAAAGCTTTCCATGTCCATGTTTGCCCTCCAAGGGTCCTGCCTGACTCCCCCAACCCAGAGAGGAGAAGGGGTGGCAGAGACAGTGTCTTCTGTGGGACCTTCTGAAGCTCTCTGCCTGAGGGGCTCCTGCAGCAGGCTCAGGGTCTGCTAAAGTGACCAGAGACAACAGAGGCATCTGCTTTCCTTTCACCTCACTGCAGAAGAGGTTTCTTATTCTCTGGTGCAGGACACGAAACTGAAGATGTCAAACAAGCACCATCAAACAAGGTAGTAAGACTCCCATTTGCAGATTCTTCCCTAAGATTGCCTCTCTGTAAGAATCGTAATTCTGCTTGGTTGATTTTTTTCTCCTTGCTGTGAGAGGCTATTAACTGTTAGGAACTAATGCTCCTGAACAAAACTCTTTGTCCTACACTCAGTAAATCAAATGATGCACATGCATCTCAAGTGACACTGACATACCTTGCTTTTAATACTCTGTTAAACAGATCTGCCCAAAAGAAAATTCTCAATCTTTAAGTTGTCTGTCAAACTGGGGGATGTACATGACAGAGTAATGGGACACATAAAGGCAATGGATAAACACCACCGATTCTTAGAAAAATGAATCTTTAGCATCAAGTAAAAGTTATACGATGCCTAGCAAGTGTAACATCCTGAGTTTGATTCCTAGTACAAAAGAAAAAAACCTCAAAAAAAGTTATATGATGGAACAAAGTGCAAACTTTTATTCATTTCTAGAATAAAGCAGAAAAAAAGGTCAAATACATTTTGAGCTTACTATCGCTGCCTCCTACTACATGGTACTCAGACCAGCCTGCTCTCTCCAACCTGTGAAGCTAAGTAGAAAAGTTTGTTACTCATTGCCCTAAATAATTACCTAGATCTTACATTTCTGCCTCTGTTGTATATACAAGTATGACTATTACGCATCTATGCCATTGAAATAAACCAAGAAAACAAAACATTGAAAGATGCAACAAATGCTGGGAATGATACTGATATTGCTTTGTATTCAAATTTGCTTCCAATTCTGAAGGTGGTAATCATGACACTACTAATTCAAAGTTCAGTCTTGGCAAGCTGGGATTAGTTAGATCTTAGCAGAATGTCTTTAAAGCCTGGAACAGGTACATTTTATAACTACTATCCAAACTTACCCAAAACATTTCATTTGGTCCACCTAATAATACCTACTGATTTTTTACCGACTGTTGCCTTTCCACTCTTCAGTTCTCTATGTTGCTATTTCCTTCTCACCCCTCAAATCCACTTCTTCAGTGAGGCCTAGCCTGACCATCCCATCTAAAGTAGCCCCTTTTCACTCTCTCTATTATTTTACTATACATACTGTTTTTTTCCTTTTAACAATTAGCATAATACATTGTTAATTGCTCTTTTATCATTCGTCTCAAAAGAACAGACCAGAATTTTGTCTGTTTTACTGACACATGAATGCCACTCCATAAATATTTTGAATGATGGTCTGGTACATACCATTCAATACTGAGAAGGCTCTTCTCACAGACTTTTAAAAGTTTAAAAAATCCAGACCTCGGAACTTTCCGAACGCGGAATCTGGTGCTCTTTTACAAACAGAAAGAAGCTGAGCTCACGGTCCTCTCAGGACACAAGTTTGGGACGGTGCCAGGATTAGTCTTCTATCTCCCTGCTTTGCACTATAGGGAGCTTTCCAAATCAGCCTCTTGCTTCCTTTAGTCTCACTTTATTATTCCCACAGGATGTATAAACACTGTTGAACACAAGCCAAAGCTAAACGTTTGCTTCTTTCCCATAAACTGCTTTGTTGTTTTTTCGTCAATTATCATGAAGAAACCCACCAAGACACTGCGCCACGCTAACAAAGCTCGGGTCTCTGCTGTGGCCCTGAGGGGGAATTCCACTGCAGTTCTATCCTGCTCCACAGCACAGCCTGACCACCTCTCTCTGACTACAGACACACCAGGGCAACTGCCATATTTACTACACCGAGTGGATTCAAACCCTGAAGAGTAACTTGAGAGACCCTAACATCTTACACATTCAAAGAAGGAACCAACGCAGCGAATGCACACATCAGTAGCTACGCTAATTTTCCCCAAAGAGGTTAAGTCTAAACTCAGTTGTCCATGGAAAAAAAAATTCTATAAAAATAGAAAGATCACACAAACAAGTTCCATCACAGTCCCAAGTCACAAATCCACTGGCAAATTCCTTGACATGGACTTAAGTTTACAAATTCAGAATCATTAGCAAGCTAAAAGGTAACTAAACCATTATGTCTAATAAGACATTTCTCCTTACAAAAAAATAAGAGGCCTTGATGTCTTTCTAACCTCCTGGAATATTCAACTGGTTTACAGTATCAAAGTCAAGGTTCTTCCCTGCAGCCAGCTGCACTCCACCAGCCACAGTTCCCAGCTTGAAGGCATGGCTCAAAATGCACCTTCTTAGGATCCATGGACAGTGTAACAGGCCATCTCTAATCCTCCAGCACGATGTCTGGTTCATCCCTGGTCCAGGACACTTTTTTTATTCCTTGGAAGTTAGCCGTATCTTTCTGTGTATTTACTCATCCAGTCCAGTGATGGCAAAAGTTTTAGAGATGAGTGCCCAAACTGCAAACCAAAACCCACTTATTTATTGCAAAGTGCCAACACTGCAATTAAACTTGAATTCTGAGGTTAAAGTTTAGAAAAAATTCATACATTAACATCTTTTGCCTTAAAAGAAAAACACTGACACCATGCCATAGGTTCGCTACCACTTGTCTAGTCTATCACTCTTGAAAGCAAACGGATGGAAGGCCAAGATCAAGCCAATTTGTTAAAATTTAAGTCCCTATACTGGTCTCTGTTTCCCAACCATAAGGATAAAGAGTCTTGCTCCTGGACATTACAGCTGATATAAATTCCTACCTCTGCAGATCATGTTTTACCGTAATCATGTTTCTTTTCTTTTTTTAGCCAATACATAAAAACATAACTTGTATATATTCATGAGTACCATGTGATGTTCTGATACACATATATACTGTGTAATGTTTAAGATCAGGTAAATATATCTCTCTCCTCATACTGGTCAAGTTTCTTTCTTTGGAGATGGGGCTCTCGCTAGGTTGCACTAATGTGTTACTCTGAAAATTCTGACATTGCTAAACGCACAGTAGATGCTTGGAAAGTGTTTTAAAAATGACCGTCATATAGAAGGAGGCTCATAATTATTTGAGGCTCAGATCTGAGCAAGAAGGTTATAGCTTTAGGAGAGTGACATATATTACTCATGCATATGCATACATGCACACACACACACACACACACAAAGTCAAGTCAAGTCATGTGTGGCTAAGAGGGATGCACTTCTACAGACTGTATCCTACTGTTTAGGATGGCAACAACCTTCAGCTCCATCAAAACTACCATAGTAGGAGCAGGTGAGGGGATAGTCCTTCTCGCACTGTGCATAACATGTATCAACAAGGTGGCATGTGTGTTGAGCATTTTCTGAGGTCTGATAAATAATGTCACTATAAATCAGCACCTCCATTTGAGTTATCAATTAATGTAAAGCAAAAGGAAGGTCCAGGCATTTCAAATATAAATTTGGGAAATGTGAATTAAGCTGTCTAACTGCTACTGTTGAAAAAATGTATTTGAAATGCATACCTTAACAAATCATTTGCATCTTGCAAAGTGCTTACCCAAATCAGACTGAAGATTATCAACTGAGAATTTTTTAAAAATCTCTGTATGATACAGTCTCTGAAAATGTATCAACATAAATAACTTTCTTTTCTTAGTTTTTGACATGGTAAAATTTTCGATTAGACACCTAATTAAACATTTTAATGAAAACGGAAATACAAAGTTAGTCCAAAACCAGTACATGAAGGTATTCATATTCTTTATAAAAATTAGCATGGAAATTAATGTAACACATGTAAACAAAGCATTTAATATTTTACTGACGCTATTTTGACAGCAGTTTATATTATGACTTCTTAAATTAATATGGAAAGTCAATTCATATATACATGACTGTGTATGTAACTTATATAGACACATATTCAAAAGACAAACACAAAATGTTGACAACTATGTCAATATATCTTGGATAAAATAAGAATAAAGATAATAATTATGTGAGAACAGTAACATTACAGGAATGCTTCCTTCATAGCATTACTATATTACTTTTTAAATTAAAATATATTTATTTTGCCTATGTGCATAAGACCATGATATAACTTACCTATACTAAATAATACTTTTAGTATTAAATGCAATTTCTAAATAAATTTCTAAATGCAATTTCTAAATAAAAGTACTGCACAGTTTTAAATTTCATAGAAGCACATACCTGAGCCAGCCTCCTTCTCCTCTTCTTCAATGTTGTTTTTGATGCTATCGTACTCTTCATCAATGGTCTGGTTACCACGCATCTGAGATAAAATTCTACGGGCTTTCTGAGTTTGTCCTTTCTGAATAAGCCATCGAGGACTTTCAGGCAAGAAGAGAAAACCAAAAAACTGTATAACTGCGGGAATTGCTGCAAGCCCCAACATGTACCTGCAAGAAAAAAAGTTCACATTTATTGTAACATTTGTCCTAATAGCACTTAGCATGTGCTTACCACATACCTTTGTGTTTGGACTAAAGTAATATCTAATGCTTACTTAGTCAAAAATTTTATTATATATGCATATGTATGCAACAGAAAGGGTATTTTATGCTGCACTGAAAATTTAAAAATGAGAAAATGTTAACATTTTTCTCTTATACAAATTACATTGAAAAATAGGTGCAATCTTTATATATACACATTCTGAACCAAACACATCATGTAAACAACATACTGACCACCCTATCTCATATTAATATACACAATAACATCATATATTTACAACAGAAAAGCTGGATGGTATGGTTTGGGTGTCCACCAAAGACCTGTGCTTGATGCTTCTGTAGCATTCAGAGCTGGTGGATCTTTGAAGAGGCAGAGCCTTGCAGGAAGAACTGAGGGAGCTGGGGAGCACATCCTTGACTGGGATACAGGGACCCCAGCCCATTCTGCCCCTCTCCTTTCGCTTCCCAGCCACACGAGGTGGGCAGCTTCATCTATGATATGTGCCCCACCATGATAAGCTCATTCACCCCAAGCCCAAGGGCATCAGGGCCAAGTGACTATGGAATGAAACCTCTGAAACTGACCCACAACCAACCTTTTCTTCTCAGAAGTTAATTATCTCAGGTATCTGTAACAATAATGAACAGCTGACTAACACAGGGACTAAACACCTCTGATTAAAAGACATAGTTTTCATAAAACCAAGTATCCAAACTTGTTTCTTTGTAGTGATTACATTTTGTTATTATGCATCAGGTTCACCAACATTAATGAGGATGTCCATACAAACAAACAAACAAGTAGCAAATCATCCTAATTAAATGGCTAAAAATAGAAAAAGTTGCTCCTGTTCTTTTAACCATTTCCTTTAAGGTTCTATTCCTAATGGCGGGCAAAATTATAAATAGCAGGTAGGCACATTATCGTAAATTCATTAAAGAAATAACAAAAATAGTAATATGACTACAGATACAGCAATACCTTAGATCTCTCCAAATTATTACGATCTCCAGACTGATCTAACATCTCTGAAACTCAACCATTTTTAACCAGAGAGGTTAGGTTAGATAAACTTTAAGGTCTTTTAAAAATGGAAATTTCTATGAATGTAGGATACCTTGATATCATGTGCTAATTCAAATTCCCTAGGTATGTTCCAAAGTAGATTCATGATGACAAAGCCCAACCAGCCGATTCCATTTATGTAAAAAACTATAGTCACCAACATTTGTGTGTCACTGAAAACTCTCTTGATTCAATTCCCTTTTCAAAGCTATTCTACTTTTTAGGCTACATTAAAAACAAAATATAGCAGCCTTAAAGTTCCGAAGATTTATCTTATGAAGTAAATCTACTTTCTAGGCAATTTCATTTAATTCTAAAAACATATTGTTATGTGGGTATTGAGAATACCACTTAATACACACTAAAACTACATGTGGAAAGATTCAAGAAAGTAAAGTGCAGATGAATGAATGACTTAGTGTTTTCTACTTTAATCTATGATTTGTAATAATTACACCAACACTTCTTAATCACTCTTTGCTCACCCTCAGAGCAGTTTAACATCAATTTAATCACACTTTTCAAGCTCAATTTATATCACTGTACCTTATATTGTAATAAATTATTTAACCTATTCCACTCAATGCCCCAGCACCTGGTAAAGTACTGTGCATACTGTAGGCACTCAGAAAATCTTTTACACAATTACATGAAACCAACTATATATCTAACTTTCTCCATTAACTACACAGAAAATAACTACTTCAGAACCATATACCAACACTTTATGAAGCAACTCTTATGAATCGTTCAGCTCTGCAAATGTACTTACACAGAAATTCCGTCCAACTAAACCATTTGTTACTCTAGATACAATCAGGCCTAGTAGAGAAGGATAACCCACAGAAGTACGTATATATTTCTGGGTTCTCCTCCTAAGATATTAACTTACAGAATAACATCCATTATTTACATGAATGTTTTACTGCTGTAAATGAATAAAATTTCAATCCAAATTAAAGTCTCTGGAAGAATTTAAAACAAACAGGCTAAGAGTGTAGCTCACCAGTTGTGCACTTGCCTAGCAATGCCCAAGGCACTAGACCTGAATCCCCAGCATTCTGAGGGAGCCCAAGCCGAGTAACTTAGCAGGACGACATCTCAAAAGAAAAGCACTTTTTTTTCAGTGCTGGGCATGTAGATCCATTCAAAGACCCTGGATTTAATCTCCAGTATATGTCTGTGTGAATGAAAGAGGGGAGGAAAAAGGGGGAGGGGGGGAATTCATAAAAGGCAGACACTAAACACACTGAATCAGGAAATAAGAAAAGTCTTAAATATGAAAATTTTCATGTTTCATTTCTCTACTTCTCTTGATTAAAAATTAAGATTAAAGAGCTGCAGAAGACTTCTTCAAAAAAGCACTTGAAACTGAATCATTTTCAGGCCCAAGGATGCTCACATAATACTTTGCATTTTACTACTATTAAATCCAAGAAACTACATTTTTAAAAATTTATAAAAAATAGAGGCAAAGAAAAAAGAAAAATGTAAACATCCATACTAACCTATGCTTCTTAAACCAGCTACAGGAGAGAGACTACTTCAGACTTCAGGTCTTTTGAAGAGTTTAGGGGCGAAATTTACAATTCTATGCAGTATACCAATGCATGGAAAGGAATCTGCACCCTGCTGCCAATCTTTAAGGATATTAAAGCCTCTTTGCAAACACTAGTCAAGAAAAAATATTTTATGCACCTACCTTCTAACACTTCCTCTCTAAAAGTAAAGCAAGGGACTTTACCTTCCAAGACAAAAATGTTTTGATAGGAATAATTTTCATGACTTTGCAGACATCAAATACATAGGACAGGGGGCTGGCTATGATATACAACAGCAAGAAGAGAGGAACATATGTGGTCTCATTTCATGCCAGAGTTTAGATAAGCGTCCCTCAGATGTTCATATGCTGAGCTGTTGTCACCTCATGGGAGAAGAGAGGGTAAAACTTGAAGAATTTGGGGATGTAGCGGTGACAGAGGCTTGCCTAGCACGTGCAAGCCAATAAATTCAATCCCAAGCACTGCAAAAATATATATACATAGACATATACATAACTGCACAAACTGGACTCTTTCTAAGTTGGTTTTCTCAGGTATTTTGTTACAGTAGCAGCTGACTAATACACTTCAGATCTGGGATATTAACCACAAGGCCTAAGTCAAGTTACATTTTAAGACAGGGAAACAGTGTCTATATCACTGGACTGCTAGGAAAATTAAGTAAACTTTAAAATCAGGGCAGGGTTTGGGATGTAGCTCAGGGAAAGGACCATGGGTTCAATATGCAGTAATGCCAAAATAATATAAAATTAAATTTTAAATCTAATTAAAATTAAAAAGAGTAAAGTAGCAACCAGATGAATGACAGAGCTTTGGGACAGGACAGAGCAGGCAGCCCCTACTGACAGAGACCTTATTATTGTAAGCTAAATCAAGGCTTCTAAACCCTAGCTTCACATCAGAATCACCCAGGCAGGGGGCTTTTAAAACACACCAGGGTCCAGCCCCACCCTCCCCTGGGGACTGATTAATTGATCTGGGCTCTGGGCCCAGGGAATTCTATTTTATTAAGAGCTCTCCAGGTGGTGCTAATGTGCTGTCAGCCCACAACAACAGATATAAATGTTTTTAAAACCCAAGAGGTGAAAATGAACAACAAGCACCAAAAGTCCACACCTTAAGGAAAAAAGCCACTGATCTCCTGGCCCCAAGATAGTTCACCAGGCTGCCAAAGGAAAGGTGAGCTGAAGCACACAGAAATCCCAGGCTTTCATGAGTTCATAAAATCTTTAGAATATTCTTTAGCAGTGCAATCATGTACCACAAGAAACTTTTTTAAATCTGCTAACCCCGAAGTTAATAAACAAGCTATTTTTCTGCCACCACTAACAGGACCACCACCTGCTGACAAGACAAACAAGGAGTAAGTCCTCTAACAGGAGATACCACCACTCACCCAGGTGCCTCACACAAAACCACAGGGGGCCTAGCCAGGAGAGGTGGGGAACAGCCGTAGTAATCCAGGCTACTGGGAGGCTGAGGCAGAAAGATCAATAGTTCCAGGCCAGCCTGGTCAACACAGTAAGACCCTGTCTCAAAACTAAAAAGTTAAAAAGGGATGAGGACGTAGCTCAGTGTGAAGGCTCAGGGTTCATTCCCCAGTTCCACCATGTGTGAATGAATGAATGGGGAAGCAGCTCAGTGGTAGAGTCCTTGCCTAGTATCCAGGAGGACTTGGGTTCAATCTCCAATACAGCAAAAATCAGACAAAAAAGAAAACAAATCCTTCACTGAACTGAACACTCACTATCATTCCTACTTTAAAGAAAGTCCACTACTCCCACTCACCTAACTTAAGACAAGTACCATTCCACATGTGGCCGCTTAAGCAACAAGTCTGCAGTCATAACTACCACCTTCTCTGAACTGATAGCATGGGTTACTTTGCATGTTATTCTTTAGAAGTTCCAGAAGGGTGATAATTATGTTCTAAATACATGAAAATAAACTTCAATATAGAGATCACCTCTATAATACATATAAGCATTTACATATAATCATTTAACAGAAACAGTAACAGCTACTATATAACATCACTTATGATGTGCCAAGCTTTGTCTAAAAAGACTTCAGATCCATTAACACCTATTATCTTCACTACAACCCTAGCAGGGGTTACCACTGTTTCCCCCATTTTATAGACAAAGCAGCCATGCCTAGTAGGTGGCAGAACAGTAACTGAAGTCCAAGCAGTCTGGCTCCTATAATAAATGCTTCTGGTAAGCCAAGTGCTAATAAACTTTCAGTGATTACTTGATAGTTCCATTGAACTCACAAAAAGGGCATTAGTTCACCTCAGCTTTATGCTGAAGAAT